GGTGCCAGCCGCCCGCCTCGCTGCCCTGGCTTCTCCCCCTCCACACATTGCCCTGGAGGCGCTGGAAGCAGGAGGAGCCTTGTGAGTTTGGAAGCAAAGAGAAAACCCTGAAGAACAAGGAGCGTCTGGGGGAACTGATTGAAGGGCACCCCCCCCCCAAGAGACCTCCCATCTTCTCTCCTAAAATAATGTTCTATAGAACAGCAGGGTCAGGAGGGATAGGAAAGGTCACCTGGTCTCCCAGCTGGAAATGTCACCATTTAGATTTATCTGGGTCACAACATTATTTGTCTAAAGAGCAAAGTAGGGCGCCTGGGGGAGTGGAAAGAACACGTTTCGGAGTCAGGCAGACTGGGGTTCCACTGAGAGCTTCTGTGCTGCCCAGCTCAGTGTCCCGGAGGAAGTACCGAACCTCGCTGGGTCTTGGTTTTCTCGTCTATAGGGGCTCAGGCCAGGGCGGTGGCCGCGGCGAAGACAGTGGTCAGATCCTGGAAGTCTTTGGAGGCTGAGCCACCAGTAGAGCAGGACCTGATCTCTCTGCTCTCTGCAACGCCTGTGACAGTGGCTGCACATTAGAGGCCCTCAACAATGATTTCTTGCATCAGTGAATGGAGGAGCTACTACTGCTTAAGTGCTAGATATCTTTGTTGTTGTTGTTATTAATCCTCACCCAGGATATGTTTTCCACTGACTTTTAGAGAGAGTGGAAGAGAGGGAGGGGGAGAGAGAGAGAGAAATATTGATGGATTGGCTGCCTTCCGCACGCACCCCGACCGGGGCCAGGGGTCAACCTGCAACCCAGGTACTCAAGGGAATCGAACCCACAACCCTTTGGTGCAAGGGCCGACGCTCTACCCACTGAGCCAGACTGGCTGGGGATTTTAATCCTCACAGCAGTCCCAGGCTGGGAGAGATTAGGAAAGGTGCCAGAGGGCAGCTGTCCTTAAATGGTGGCTGGAATGGGGGAGCCGCTGGGCCTGGCTCCAAAGCCCAGGGTTCCTTGTTTTTTTCAGAAGACAGGCTCCTGCCCTCAAAGCTGGTGAGAGGCAGGGAAGCCAGTGGGCACATTAAAAAGCGGCGCCTGGCAAATAGCAGGCGCCATGAACATGTTTGGTCATTGAGCAGCCTGAGAACCCTCACCGTGTGGACATTGCTGTGGGCCCGAAGGAGGTGCCTGAGAGTGTTGGATGGGAACACTTGCGGGGGACATTTGAGGTGGACCTTGAAGGGTAGGAGTTTGCCGGGAGCCAGGAAGAGGCTGGGAAAGACTTGCGGGGGACATTTGAGGTGGACCTTGAAGGGTAGGAGTTTGCCGGGAGCCGGCAAATAGCAGGCGCCATGAACATGTTTGGTCATTGAGCAGCCTGAGAACCCTCACCGTGTGGACATTGTGTGGGCCCTTGCGGGGGACATTTGAGGTGGACCTTGAAGGGTAGGAGTTTGCCGGGAGCCAGGAAGAGGCTGGGAAAGACTTGCGGGGGACATTTGAGGTGGACCTTGAAGGGTAGGAGTTTGCCGGGAGCCAGGAAGAGGCTGGGAAAGACTTGCGGGGGACATTTGAGGTGGACCTTGAAGGGTAGGAGTTTGCCGGGAGCCGAGGGGCCTGGGAAGCTGGAACAGCGCGAATGAATGAAAAGATTTAAAATGGACCTGAGAAAACGGGCTTTGAAAGCGATGATCGGGTGTATTACGTTAGCATTCCCGCGGGTACCCCCACGGTCCCGGCCCAGACGGCGCTACGGTCTGGCCTGCCCCCATGGCTGGCAGCCTGCTGGGGGCCCCCTTCTCCTGGTTCCAGTTTAGCCCGGCCTCGTCCGTACTCGCTCAGTCCCACCCCTCAGCTCCGCGCACAAGGTCGTGTCCCGGAAGTGAAGAGGCCATGTTGCTGGGTGACCCGGGGAGAGGTACCGGGCGAGAGGCGAGTCCC